TATCTTGCCATTATATAACAGGTGCCTTACCTATGTATTTACTCAAAACAACCTGTGCTGCTGGAATTGCATTCATCTGAAGGATGTTGTACTGGTACAGCTCTGTTTCTCTGTTGCTTTTATCTTGCAATGTTGTACAGACCCAATATGCATAACCAATTGCTCCTTCAGTGTGTAACAGTGCCAAAGTTAACATATGAACATAGGGTAATAAATATCCCAATAAAAATTAAGAAATGAAACAATGCACCTCAACACAGTAAACATCACATCTTAGTTTTCTTTAAGTCAACTGTTAAATGCCTTTAAATGAAGAGTCCCTATGATAAAATATAGCTAAGAACACCATTAAATCACTTGCTTCAAATCTAAGTAGAAGAATTAAATGGGATAAATACAGGGCAGAAAACAGTCCTGACGGATGGGTTGGTTTGCTGCTTCTCAGCACCACTCCCATAGGTCAAATGAATAATTATCAATCAAAAGAATTTGGAAACGCTTTCATAAATAATCCAGAAATGTCAACTAAATTTAGTTTTTTATCTCACTTTTTTTCCCGAGTCTCAGTTTCTATTCTTTGTGACTACCGCATCTATTAAATCCCAATGCCATTTATTCATCAGCTCTCGAAGTTCTCCAAAGACAGCAACCTGTTTCTAAGAAAGAATGGTGCTGTCATTAACATCTGATACCACCATGTATTCATTTCCTCAACAAGGGTGGTACTTTATTCGCTAATGAATTCTGAAGAATGAACAAGTTCTTACATGCATACTGAGTTCTGTAGTGTGCCTGAAGAGGTCCATGGTGTCATAACTTCCAACTGTCTCTGCAATTAGAGCCTAGAAAAGGAAAAAAAGTTCTTAGTGTTTTAAAGGAATAATGATAATAAATGAAATTGTTTGGAAGAACCACTAGCTGTGCTTAAAAGCAAAGTTAATTTCTTTTTCAATCTTGGCTACCATGTTGCCTTGGCTCAGAGGACCAGAATAACTTGTTAAATTGGCCCTTAAGCTGACAGACGCTTGCAGAACTCCATTTGAAACCAGGCAGTGGTGGGAAAATCCACAAAAAATTCCTCAGAACACTGATGAACTCCCTTCTCCCTTTCCCCTCACCCTTGATCTAATCATACTGGTATTTGTCTGAAGTAGAATCACCTCAGATTCAACTAGAAAGCTTTTTAAAAAGGAGGTCCTCACTCCTAGAAATTCAGCTTCCATAGATCTCAGTAGAGAGTGAACATGTTTATTTTTAAAATTGTCTCAGGATTTTAAAAGTTATATCTGTGCTTTTGACTTTATAGATTATGTGACAGTTAAAATTACTTTCTAGCTTATCTATCTTTTATAAGAAATCAGGGTTTTTTACGTATCACACATTACGAATTGAGAATTTAGTATTAAGTCTTACTTCTATTGTTATCGCTTTTAATTAAATCTACTAGTTACCTCCTGAAATAAATTACCTTTGAGAATAAAAAATAACTGAAAAATAAGGCAAAATTACTTAGGTAACTCTGATAAGCATCTAAGATCGCCTGACCTATAGCCATGCTACTCAGAGTGAAGTCCCTGGAACCAGCAGCATCCTCCTCATTTGGGAGCAGTTAGAAATGCAAATTTTGGGGCCCCTGGGTCCAAAGACTTACATAGAGATTACTGCAGTAATGCCACTGCCCCAGTGCTACCAGCTGATGGGAGTAAGAGCTTGCTTTTCCCAACTCTGCTTGTTTTACTAATTAATCAGAATTAGACCCAAGGCAAAATACAGTAAAAGGTATCTAAACCCTGATTAATGATTTGTCAGTATGGGTGATGCTCCCACTATTCTCTGAACTGAAATAATCAACCACTTACTAATTTATTACCATTTCTCAACCAGAAGACCCTGGAGGCCAATCAGGCCAATCCCCTTCTTCTTCAGGTGAGAAAAGTGAAATCCAGCAGTGGTACGCTAAGGTGAAACAGTCAGTCAGCGACAGACTCAGACTAGTAGCCTGATTCCTATTTGGCAGTACAAAAATCTAAACTATGCGGGTGGCGGGTAGGGGAGGAGGGTGGGCACTCATAAACAAGTACCAAATCAAACATGAAGATTTTACAGAAAATGAGAAAATGTAATCAAAACGATCTCCGTAAATGTTCATTATTTTTAGCAAATGTGTGCTGAGTTCTGGGTTTATTTTTTAAGCATGATGATGTCAGACTGACGGTGCTCAAAGCCTCTCAAATCAAAGCTTAATCATTACAAGCTGTATGATCCTGGAAGTGATACCTGGCATCTCTGAGCTTCACTTTTCCACATGCAAAGGACCTAGCACAGTGACTGGCACAAAGGGAGCCCTCCAATGTTACCTGTTATCATTATTATCATCGTTGTTTATACTAACGTGATGTTTATACCACTTTCTAGTAATAGGTTATTTATAATACAGGTTATGCATAAATGTATGTTATACAGCTTACTTGTCCAACCCAGCACATTAAATAAGTTGGATCAAGGGACTGAGCCATTTTGAAAGCTTCATGCGCTTGCTAGAGGAAAAAGGCAAAAGCAAAT